TTAAATGGAACTGACTTCCAATGCGTGCTATCTTCGTAGTTTTTCTATGCCCTCGCAAGCGAAGATTTGGTTGTTTATATTTGTCTAGCTAATAATCTATCTAAAGTTACTTTTGAAAAGTTGGTGCTAGAGCTTTTCTACAAACTTCAGATATACGTGTATGCATTGTAAAAAAAAACCTTTTTAATTGGTAAAAATATTTTTGACCTTGACCTTAGATTTTGATCCACTTTGTGAAAAACGACTTAAACCTTAACACAACTTTTAAACAGTTAGTAATAGGCCATCCATGTTTCACGTGTATTCTCTTGAAAAAGAACAATTTAAACCTTTTGACTTTGACCTTGGAATTGGACTTGCATTTGAGAAACTTCTACCTTCGCCATAATTTGCCATAAATCAGTTTTTCACAAACACAGTTTGTTTATACATGTATATAGAAGTATCTTTTTTGCGAAAGAGAACTTGCTACATGTATATAGGACACTCCACTAGATATAAGGCGAAGCTGCTCTGAAATTTAATAGTGTGAATGTTTACTTAGAATGAAAAATGATGTTTCGTTGAGAATTTGAAGCGATATTTGTATGCATCTTCACATCTTTTTTGTGAATCAATCATATCTACAGAACTGTTTAAAATACAGATGATAAAAGGATTTGCACAATCAAGACAATTGTAAAGGATAAAACTTTCGCTACAACGTCGAGTTGCTTAGTTTATCGAAAAGCAGGCTTTAAAAATGTTGACAAATCAGCAATTGTCAAATCCCGTGTCCAATATAAAACCACAAGGTTATATTTCCAGGACGAGTAAAGCAACAATTTTGTAGTGACAATGATTGATGCTCCTGTATATTTATCAATCCGTTGTAGAAGATTCTGTTGAGACAGGGTGACGTGCCTTATTTGTACTGATTCGAAGGAACCGGGGTTATGTGATCCAGAATTTTTGCCAGTCTATACGAACTATAGCAAGCATATTGAATTCACAGGTCGGCTCTCCAAAATAGTTTCAAGATACTAGTTATATTCTCGTACATGTATGAAGAAAATAAATAACTTCTAATAACATCCTTTTAAAAAAAGAAAGAAAAAAGCATGTCGATCCTTTGGTTTGTCGATTGGTAGTACAAGTGTTGTATGTTCAATCATGAATGCCTTGAGAATACATTGCTAGACAAAAAGCAAGTACATTGACACACTGGTATCCTCTCAGAAGGAAATAACCCTTTTGATTTTGAGGTTATAAATGTCAAAGGTCAATCTACTCTGGACTAAGGAAAATATTGCATCATATTGTAGCTCAATATCTTAAATTTGGCTTCCCTTAGAAATAGAAGGCCCCTGTTGATTCTGAGGGCACAAGATTAAGGGTCCTAATAAACATACATTAGAAGAATCTTCTCTCCATCGACAAGTGGTGGCGTCTCCATATGAGTAAAAAATTCTCGAGAGGGACGTTAAACAATATACAATCAATCAATATATTCAATATGATTAGAACTCTTTGCTTGACACACATCAAAGGTTGTTACTACCTGCATGGTCTGATTTTTGCAGAAAATGACGTCAATATCAAAATAAACTTTGGGTCTTTCAGCCCATCTGCGTAGAATTGGAACGATGGTCAATAATGTCCAATATACATGATTAATTTTGAAATATAGAATTGTGAAAATGAATCGCTAACAAATCTGATGTGTTCTTTTGTAAATACACTTACGTCGCGGGTACGAATCCCAATGTGGGACGTGGAGACCGATCGGATGAGACCGTTTAAACCGAGGTCCCGTGTCGCAGTAGGTGCTGGCACGAAAAAGATCCCTCCCTGCTCAATGGCCCTCAGTCTCGAGTATAGGACAAAATTTGCAGCTCTCCAACGGCAAGTGGTGGCGTCTCCATATGAGGGAAAAATTCTCGAGAGGGACGTTAAACAATATACAATCAATCGTAAATACACCAGGTTTTTGATTTTCGGGATGAGACTGCATTCAAACTACTGTTCTTGAGAGAATCTTAACCTCTGTTGTTAAGAGAAACAATTTTGTTGGCAAGACGGACTTAGGGCGGATGGTTCGTTCCTTAACATTAATTTTTATAATTTTCCAAGATTTTCAAGTTATACAATTTGAATCTCAGTTACTTCATGGCACGACCTTACACGTATTCTTCCACCTAGCACTATCACAGGTTTGAATGGAGCGTACGTAGTGGAGTTATGCCTAGGTCACATTTAAGACGATGGTCGAGGGACTAAATTTTTTCTGGTCTTGTCGGCTGAAAGAACATGATTGGCCGACACAGTATCGGGCGACACGGAGCAGTCACATTATTTCCTAGGGACACCGATAACTTGGATAAATAACACAATCTTTTTTCTTTAGAAATCAGCAATATTTTTCATAGATCCTTATTCAGTTAGGTGACGCGAGTAATGTTTGCAAGGCAGAGTGGCAGAATCTTATAAAATTGTGACTCAATGTTGAAAATGTGTGCAAAATGTATGGAATTGCATAAAAACGACAAACAGTGCATATCTAAGCAGCAAAGAATATTTAAGATTTCTTTACATCTTATGGAATAATTATTTATGTTATTTCCGTTCAAAAAATATATATCAATCCATGCATCAAAAATTTGTTTGTGTTATGTATCCTTAATAGGTTAAATATTCACAAGTCGGCCAATTGTCGCCCGATCATCGAGCTCTGAGCTACAGTTTGATTTTAAACGTTGGCCGAACTAATGAACACCTTTATTGTCGAACGACGGACGACCGTCTTTATAAACTGACTCCCGATGGTCGGACGATGATCGAAGGTTGGTCGACGGATAACTTCAATTGGAAAATCGGCCACCGACGCAGAAAAAATTATAACTTGGACCGATGGACACAAAATTGGTCGGCCGACAACAAAAGAGGTCAAAATCAGGAAAAACAGCGGCCGATGAACTGCCGACTGTCACCCGAAGAATCCCATTTTTGCTTCAAAACCCGTCGGCCGTTGGTCGTTTTTGGAAATGTGACTGGGATGATTGCCGATTGACTACAATCAAGGCAGAGAACCAGTGATTGTATTATATTATTATATCTGAAAAGATCGGATTTTAGGTACAAGTACATGTACCCCATATTTTTTTCCGAATGTCTTTTTTTCTAAAATAAATTGATGGCAAGGAAATTAATACCCAAAACACTTGGACTGATGGTTTGATATACATGTACTTTTGCAGTATCATGTTTTAATGATAATGGGAAAATGTTGTAATAAAGAACAACAATAAAACTGATTCGGGGTAATTTAGATATTTTTCGAAATAACTTTTTTGCCAAACACATTGCCATTGGTGAAAATAAGATGAAAAAATAAACTGGTTAGTGACTAGGAGTAATTTGAAGAGATTAATATATCGCTTGAAAATGAAATTGAATGCTAACAGAAATCAGACTCTTTTTCAATACCAATTTCATTCCAATTTCCCAAAGTCAAGACGTTTGGCAAATCAATTTTTCAAGGTCGTGAGCAGATTAAAAGAAAAAAGTAAGATCTTCTAAATATTTGGATTGTAAGTTTTTGCGGAAGACCTTTTTTTTAATTTAAGGATTTCCAACCCTAATACTCGTAGGACCAAATTCTCTATCCTTAAATATCCATCAAGTACATAATAATCTGATATTAAATTAAAGCATTTTATAGTAGAAATAGGTTCTATGAGAAAAATGTTTTTAAAATAAAAATTTTGATAAAAAGATTATATGAATGATGTAAAAGAAAGATGCATTGCAACGTTAGAAGGAGAATGACAACAAATATTTTTTTTTAATTGATTTTTTTTTCATTAATTAAATACAGAGGGATATAAATTTTTATCAAAATTCGAGGACAAAAATTAGGACACATCCCACCCTTAACTTAAGAAATAAATGGGAATTATGTATATAAATACATGTATACCGAGTATATTCAACACCCACACATCTGTTAAGGTTCATTGATACTCTGATAAGAGAGATAACTCTTATTGACATAAATGTCTATTATTCCTTTATAGATTTTCCAAGTTGAAGTGTCTTTTTTTGTCCATTTTTGCCACAGAAGCTATGTTGTAATTATTTGTATATATTTTACTTAAAAACATCTCTTTTGGAAAACGATTAAGGTTCAAACAGCATTTTATATGAGTGAGCAGAGGATTTATGAACCTTAATATATTCAATTCTGTCTTGTATTCATTTTCATTGAATCTGAGTCGCCCGTGTGGCTTCTTGGTTAGAACGTCTGCTCTACACTCCCGGAGTTAGGAGTTGATCTTACGTCGCGGGTTTGAATCCCACTGTGGGACGTGGTGACCGGTCCTTCGAATGAGACCGTATTAACTTGGGCCCCATGTCGCAGTAGGTGCTGGCACGAAAAAGAACCCTTATTGCTCAGTGACCATATGTGCCGAGTATAGGACAATGAATTTGCCGCTCTCCACCGGCAAGTGGTGGCGTCTCTATATGAGTTAAAAATTCTCGAGAGGGACGTTAAACAATATAAATCAATCAATTATTGAATCTGTTGCTATTATGGATAGAATACCTAAAAACCAATCTGCGTTAACGTTCTTTTTCCTTGATGATAATTACGTAAGAATAGCCCTTTTAAAAAGGATTATGAATTATGTGAACGTTTTGAAATAAAAAAAAATATGTAAGGTCACTCCTGTAAAATAGAACATTTAGAAGAAAAGGGGACGCAATACAGATGCCTAAAAAAAATATTTTAAGTGTGTTCTTACAACTTTCTACGGGATTGCCCGAAGAGTTGCCATAACTTTCAAGCAAATCGTCATAATTTATGACAAATCGACATAAATGTACGACAAGAAGATATAGTTATCTGACAAGTCTTCGAAATCGACATCCATACTTTGACCCTTCTTTTGTGAACAATAAACTATCCAACGAACTTTACCTTTTAAACATTTATATAAAATATTTAAATGTTAGTTAATAAAAAAAGTTTTTAAAATTATAAAATAATTCTGGTAGTGTAGTAAATTCCAATTGAATCCACGCTGGATATTTCATGTTATGGAATGTGATCTGGATTTGTGTGATCTGAAAAGAAAAAAAAATAAATATAAATTTATAAAATTAATGAAATAAATTATTAAAATAATTTTGCTATATACAGAAAATGAGTTTATAGCGAACCTGTTTATAATGAATTGACTTTTACAATGAAGTGAGTTTTATTCCCCGTGCCTCTAATGATCTCATGGGATGAAAATTGAATTAATTACGTTTAATTATTTACGTTCTGCAAAAACATCCGTCTCTGACACCTCGTTATAAGCCTGTTTTACTGTATTTATTAGAAATAATAAATATTCTCCACCCGTAAACCTTTAATCGTGTTAACTGTTTTAGAATATTTTTTTTGAAATTTTCCCATTACTTGTAATTTGTCGGATGTCAAAGTTGACAAATTTTACAACTGTTTTCCCATAAATTCTTAAAACAATCATCATGAAATTAGTTATACGCGTCGGTTACTTATTCTTTTTTATTATAGGTCGTATCCTGATTATACCACAGAAAATATGGTGTATTTTCTGCCTAATCAATAATTCAACAGCAATATTTCTTGGAGGTTGGGTTAATTTTGTTTGCCGCAAGGGAGTTCTGTATAGCTATGTATAGGTTAACATTGTTTTGAGAAATTGCCTTGAGTATTATTAGTACTAATGCTAGTATGCTTAGCTTGAAAGGCGATGCATGTTTATTTTTTGCGTTGTAACTATTAAAGAAATCCCCTCAATTTTATTCTAGTCATTCTGACATGTTTTCTGTTTTTCAATAAAAATCTGCCTTAAGTCGTAATAATACAGATTTTTATTGATGAATTGGTAACACGTGTCTGATAGATAATAAAACAGAAAAGGCGGAAGTGCATTTCCTGCATTGTAAATCCGCTGTTGATTCAAAACGAGTAAATACTAACAGTTTTTTGCATCGGAAGAGAGAAAAACTATTAATATTACCTGGTACAATCATGTATAAAATTATTGTTTTCAAATGTTAAAGTGTTATTTAAAAAAATTCATATTTTTATGTGCATGGTAAGTTTTAGCTTGTGCGAAGACAAAAATACGCAAAGTATGACTGTGAAAGAATTAAAGTATGAATTTTAAAATTTACATCCTAAGAAAAAATTAATTAAAAAAAATAAACAAAAAGACATTTTTTATATTACTTATATGTGTGTAATTCCACATTTCACCAGAATCGTGATTTAAAGCGAGGGACTTTTTTTTTCATTTTTGCTGGAACTACGAGGTCGTATTTTATACTGATCCCGATTGAATATAGTTAAATTGTTTTTATTTTCATACAAATAACATTTAATTGAAAATCAGTTTTTTTGATTAATGTCCATAATATACTTTGAAAGTAAATGCTAAATTAACGTGTAATGAATATGCTCACACCCGTGTGCTCCTTGTCATGATCAAAATAACGGAAAAAATCCGCTCAATTCAAAGTGTATAAATAATGGACAAAATTGCAATTTGAGATAAATTGTATTGCTAAACATTAATAAAATTAATACCGGTATTATAATTATCATAATATACCTTTTTAGAATTCTCTTGCAGAAGTATATATACTCCGTAAGGTCAAGGTTGATTGGGGTGTAATGCTGGTATTTAAAAAATATATCTTATGATAAAAAGTGTCATTGCTAAATACCACAAATTACCTCTCAATTACCGGTACAGTGTATCAAAGAATACGTGTACACTATTTCGACACTATGGTGCTTTTGTGGAAGTAGTTCAAATGTTACGAGGTCGGTATTTTACAGAAACCAATATTTGATGGGCAAAACATCAATTTCCTAATCTCAATAGTTCTCCTCATACAAGATGAGATGCATGTAGACTGACATGCGCCGAGCAGTGGAATCCCTTGTACAGCAAAGCAACTTACCCGTCAGAACATGGCTGTTGCATGCGATCATACATGTACGTGGCTTCCGAAGCTAGTTTTGGGCGCTGGAGTTTTTTCATCACCACTGGACTATCACTGGATAGATCTGTAATCTTTGTGACAAAGACGTCAGCCGTCTCCTCGTCTCCGGAGGATGAGGATTTGATGTCATTACTGAACACATTCAGTTCCAACATCGACGAATCACTATCCTCGTGGGAGCTGTTCTTGTTTGACAATGAACCTTCTTTAATTGTTGGTGTTTTGTCGTTCTCCTTTTTCGATGAAAGAGACCTTTTTGCACTTGAACGAAACTGAAGCTCACGGGCATGTTGTGAGCTTGTTACATCCGGATTAGGTTTGTCTTTTGGTATTTTTGAATACGTGTCTTTCATGACATCTGGTAGTGAATGCACCTGTTTGATATCGTTATTAAAGCTACGGGGTCTCCTTTGGAGTTTGACAACACACCTTCCTGACGGAGTTACCTGCCCTTCTATCTGAAACGGAAGTGCAGCATAACATGGCTTCCTGTAGCACCGTAAATGATTATCATGCGCATGTCTTTTGTGCACTTCCGGGCGAGATTGTTCACAACAAACCAATCTTTGTAATAGCTTCTTGAAACGTTTGAATAAAGACCTTCTCAAAATGATGTAAATCCATGGATCTAAAGTTTGATTAAAGCTCGCCATCCGTACCGTTGTTAGATCCATTGGGTAGTTGGGCTTTCCATTCGTTATTGTAATTAATATGTGAACCTTAAAATGTAAGAGGAACTTTAAAATCAGAAAATACTATTATATAAATGACAAAAATAATGAAACTATAATGTTTTTGCAGGTAAATTATTTTATCATCCTCACTTTTTATTTACGGACTTTTTATAAAATACTCAGGTATAAAAATATTTTTATGAAATTTGCAAGATTTAATCTCGAATTTAAGAGATCTGAATTAAATTGATACCTTTTTCAAACAGCTCATTTTAAGTCGTTTTAAATTAAAAAAAAAAACAAAACAAATAACAAGCTTATAATTCTCAAGGATGACGTATATGACTCTATATCAGGGTTTCAGTTGACAAAATCGAAATGTGCAATATTTTGAATCAAAATTGTTCTAAATTAAAAAAATTAAAGATAAATATGTTAACCCTAAGTATTAATTTCAGAAAATTTAGTATAATGATAATGAATTTATTTATTGAAGAAAATACGCAAGTACATATTAAGTAACTGTATGCAAATGCAGAGGAAATTCGGACAAATTTGTTAAATTTTTCTGTTATAAAACTTAATGTTTTAAAATGCTAATTGTGACGTCATTAACTTGTGCATTTTCCCGTAATTTTTTTTAAAAGTTGCAGAAGACATCAATTTTCAGTGGAATTTTCTTTCAGACAGTCGCCCAGAAAGATTTTTAAAATATGAAAAATATGTGATTTTCATAGCAGTTTACATAATATATCCAAAAATCCAACAGAAGAAGGGCAGAAAAGTTAAATGGGGTAATATGATAGTGTATTTTAGATTTTTTTTTTGTCATGCAGATTTTTGTAATATTAGTATATTATATTTTTTTTAATTGGAATATTTTCCAGAAAGGAAATTCTTCATGTCATAATCTTTCATGAAAAGTTTATCATATCAAATTATCAACTGCTGTTCAAAAATTTCATACTTATTATTATTAGGAAAATTAAATTTTTAGGGCACAATAAAACTCAAACCGTTCCTTCTTCTTTGGGTACTTCACTATATCCGTTATTGGTTATATCGGTATTAAGGAATTCGTTAAATTTATTTAGCTGGGGATCCAAAATAACTTTGCTATATCCGTGAATTCGCAATATCAGTGTTCGTATAAAACGAGTTTTACTGAGAAATATTTAGGGGACCACTAGCATGAAAAGTAGGTGTTTAATTTAGTCAATAACACTACAATCATATGTTTACAATGGTTAATGTGTGCTCTTTTTTATTCTTATTTGAGTTTAATTTCCTGGTCATCTGAGTAAACTTCATCCTTAAGATTAAGGGACTAGAAAGTATTAAGATTTTATAGATCACTTTTCTGTTGGGCAAGATAACTGACTGCATGATCTAGCATTTTGGTTCATGGGCTTTTCGATTTACATGTATAGCTTTGTTGTTTATTATTATTTCTTTAACGTTATAAAATATAAAATCACAGACTAATGCATTATTTCTTAGTATGCTACATGTATATAACTTTTTTCTAAACTCTTACGAAACAAAACTATATATCTAATAAATTAGCTTCGTTTTGCAAAGGCACTGACATTAAAGATTGAATTCATTAATTGTCGTGCAGGTTTTTAACTTTGGTTTTATTCAGCAACCGTCCTTTTCTTACCATAAAAGGTGTCCAACAGATCAAGAAAACAATTGTTAAGAAACACATGAGGACAAACATCTGAATTTCCGTGTTTCTTTGCTTGCGTTTCTTGTTTGTCGCAATACCTGAGGTGGCCTGGTGCTCCAATTCTCCTTGGACTGTCTCGGCCTTTTTCTTAAGATATCTGACATGAAGTAAAGTGAACATGACGTATGTGTTGCAGACGATCATTACTGAAAGTACAGCGAGATTTAGAGAGGCGTATAGATAACCATATCCGTTCAACAAAGGGTCTTGGCTGTGAAAATCGAAGAAGCACCATGTGCATGGATACTGCACAACAAACTTTCCAAATCCAAATAGCGGCAAAATTCCGATAATTATCACAAATAACCATATAGCAATTAGAGTCAATTTTGCTCGCCCTTTATTGAATAGCTTTGAATGTGTAAAAGTGCAACGCAAGGATAAATAGCGTTCAATTGCCATACTGCTAACAATCAAAGGTGTGGATAAGCCAAAACACACCATAACGAACCCATTGAATCGGCAGAACTCGTCTCCTCCAAACCATTTCCGATCGTTTAAATAAGCGGCAACGGTTGCAGGGGAGGTAAGAATAATACCGGTCAAATCCGTCCATGCCAATCCGGCAACCATTGTATAAAAGATGCTGTTTGAAGACCTTCCCTTTCTAAGAACAACTAGAGCAAGAATGTTTCCGAGTGTACCGGCTATAAACATAATTACTGGAGATACTATCGTTGCTCCCCAGGCCTCGGATCTGGTGGCAGTTTTGTTTGCCGAGGTTTCGTTACAGATCAACGGTTCCATTTTTCCGAATTTAAACTAATCACTTTCGTAAAGTATATCCCCTTGTCAAATATTTGCCGAATTCATTCCATAAAATAATCAAGCTGTATCACCAAAACTTGGTTCCAAGAATTAAACTTCTATATTGAGTTACTTGGGTCCATTTCTATTGGCTTTGGGGAATTGAAATGCATCAAGGAAAATTCATAAGCGCTATGCACAAATACCATCACACTTGCCTCCTGGAACTTAGCCTTATCGGTTTGAGTTCAGTAATAGATATTGCAGATCACTGTCAATATTTCAAATTAGTCTCCAAATTAAAATGACATTTTCCGCATTGTTCCTGACATCTGGCATCATGATGATAATTAGTGACTACTAGCGGCCACACGACGTGTCAATCTCCAATAACTGGAATCACCGTCCATAATTATAAGATGAATCCTGTAAAAGTTTTTATCAAAATTGTATCAAATTGTGTGACATGTCAATCAATAACAGAGTTCCAGCTTATAAATAATCTAATTCTCAAAGGACCACCTTACAACGATTTATATCAACCAAATGACGGAGGAATGACCCGAGGTTTTATTATTATTCCATAACCATATTGGGTCTGTTAGGAGTTTTTGCCTTAGCTACCTTAATTTTATGACGTAATTTGCGTGGGGGTTGATGAGGTTCGGGAAGGCACTTCTCCAAAACTCGTCAAACAGTAATAGCCTTAAAATTTATGGTTACACTTAGAGTGTGGTGAATAGCATTTACCGATATTTTCCAGGAATTTTCATGGACCGTTATTTGTTTGGTTGGTTTTCTCATCAAATCAATGTTCTTGTGATTTGGTACCAACTTTGTTCTCTGAAAATCTTTATTGATTTATTTTTTTTATATATTTAATCTATCTATGTATTCAACCTAAAAATTAACTTTTATTATTAGTTATTATATATCTTTTTTATTAAACTTCTCTTTCAGCTTCATCGTACTAAATAGAGAGTGTCAACTGATGACGCATTTCTATCATATGTGAGATGTGTAAATTTCACCACATTAACATTCAAAATGTACTAATATAGAACATGGCCGTAAAAATGATATAACACGCAAAAGTATAAAGTAAAGGCATTTAAGTGGAGATGTTAATTCCTGGGATAGGTGTTTGAAAATAGTAAAACATCACTTTATTTAAGGCCAACACCCTGTAACAAAGAGATATAATTAAACAATGGTTTTGATTTCAAACGAAAAGAAATATCAGTGCAATTATATGCACTCAAAATAAAAGGTTCTTTTGTGCAAGAGATGAAATTTAGAAAGGGATATACGATTTCATCCTGCTTAATTGAGATATTCTGGATCTGTTTTCAATAAAATTGGAGTTGATTAAATCTGACCTAGCAACTTATACACTCCTTCCTCAAGGCACAGATTAAACGGCAATCGTATGCATTTCAAAAAACAGAAAAATACAAAAATTTGTTGAGCTGGTCATTAGGTTGCCCACATTGGTTGGGTGAACGCTTTTGCTATCTCTGACTTTATAGATTAGGTAATATGTTCTAGAAGCTAATTTCAAATTCCCAAATTATTTGACGTTGTAAAAATGCCTTTAATTCAAGATAACTGATTCTTAGTTTAACCAACTTCACTATTTTCCTGTGATACAGTTTGTAGTTTTAAAATAATGAAGTGATATCCCCGTATTTGATTGGAATGTTATCATCTTGTGACAGGAAAATTTCCATCCTGTAATGATGACGGAGCCTTAACATCGATATATACAGTTAAGGTAGTACAATCAGGTTGTGTTGAATTGCAGCACATTCACTCGTACTGTACGGTAGAAGGGTGTTGACTTAAAGAGGTCGAACATGGGGAAGTACCGAATTTGAATGGTTACAGAAGTGACTTATTGTTTTATTTTTTGAAACAGACTCTGTGACCACCCAGCCCCGGTCCATGTTTTACCCTAAGCCTTATAGATCTACACAACAAAATGACCAATCGCATCATCTCGGGTCTTTCCGCCGGAGGTCGGAAGTTGTTTTTCCGCTTGTCGGAAAGGCCAGAGAAGTTGCGATTGCAAAATGACAGCAAGAAGAGCTCCAAAACCACGCTTATAAAGGGGTGATACAAATTAAAATTTGGAATTTATTTTTCTCCTAGTACATTCTTAGAGAATATTTAAAACTTTGAAAGCTTATGGAAAGCAAATGAAAGAGATAGAAGAAATGTTTCTTATTGTTTTTTTACAACTTGAGTTCAAGAAAGAATTTGTGTGTTTTTCCAGATAACCTATATAAAAACCTTCGACATTTGATCAGTTATTGAATACAAAAAACAAAATCTCATTAAACGTATTGGCACACATTTCTTTTTATCGCTTTTTCTATAATTGCATCTTTTTTTCGAAATGGTCGCGAATCATTGCCGGTTTTGCCAATTTAATATTACATCCACGTTTTTTTTATATAAAGAAAGGTCATCTTAATCTCCCAGGTGAATGGATAAAATTATTTCTATTTACCAAACACTATTTGCACTTTGCAAATACTTTCCCATTTGGTCAGCCACAGAGAAACCCAAAGTCCCAAGAGTAGGCTCCATTTACACAGATATTAAAATAAGAATTAGGCATACTGATTGGAATTTGAATTCTAACAAAATCTCTGGAGACTTCCATCTTTGCCTACACACTATATTTAATGATCTTTTTTGACATTCTGTATAACACGCCTTGTCAAGAAAGACTGCACTTGGCACAACTCTGTCATTATTATATGCTAAAGGTTGAAACAGAGCAAGATCCTCGTTTGTTTTCAAAAGATGCCAGATACAACAAGAGATCTGCATAATTTTTTTCTCAAATGTTTGTCTAGTCCTTAAATGTATGACTGTTTATTTAAATGCATCTAACAATGATAAAATTTAGGAATTTTATTTGTATAACAATAAATTAAAACCCTCCAATTCAAATTCTCTTCAAAGAGACACCGTGACGCACAAAGGGAAAAATTGACAAACATAGAATTTTTGCATGACCCGAGTAAATTTTGATCAATACCTAAAAGTATTAGGTTTCCGAAAAAATACAGGTTTCAGATCCTAAAAAATCTATCTTTATGGAGAAAAATAAAAGTAAAAATAATTTCAGTATGACCCTTTCATATGAAGTTTTCATTGTCTTGTCTTACAGATACTTTTTTCTAGTCAGTTTTGGGGGATCAGAAAATATTTTACGTAAATCAAAGCTTGTGAAAAAATTGTTCAATTTATACCATCATTTTAATAAATGACATTATGATCTCTATGAAAGTGTTTTATTTGACTTATACAAAATTAGAAAAACTATACTGTGAGCTGAGCTCACTAAATGATACTATGGTTATAACTGGTGAAAAAGTCCATGTTTCCTGTGGCTGGGAAGCCCAAAATATGTGTCGGATCAAAAAGTAAAATAGGAGGTGCACAATGGCAATATGTAATAAAGATTCTGTGAAAGTTGCATCAAATTTCATTCAGTGATATGAGAGGAGTTGCGGATAAGAGATGGGTACCCCAAAGCGTAACAGACGGACGGACGGACAGACGGAAGGACGGACGGACAGACGGACGGACGGACAGACGTATCATAGCTTTTCAAGCCAAGCTGCGGTGAGCTTGCACATAAGCATAAGAACACATAAATATTGCTTTACTTCTCCCTTCCTTTTGTACGCGTGCGCAGAAACGTTGAATAAGTTATCATAGTTACCATGGTCTCAAGTACCTAGGAATGAATGTAAATAGACCAAAAATGTTGATGCAATCTCTTTATAAAACTGTTAGAACATATAACTCACCTTTGCATGTTCCAGTTGAATATTTACAAGTTTGAGCTAAAAATAAAAGTGGCGTGATCTTGACATACACGAAAACATCGAAACAGATATTGCAGAATCTTTGTTTTTCAGGCACTAATATCGTGCAGTCTTTTCTTGCTTTACATTAGTTTAATTGTCATATAGATCTTCACTATATACTCATAAGTTTCATGTCTTTCTGTGTATGCTACAGTTATCTTAAAAGAAACATATGAATTTGACTCATTGTTGTGTTACTTGAAGTGAAAGTGAAAAAAAGGTTAAAGCATGAAAAGAACAGAAGCACAGGAAAGTCTACTGTGTGGAGTTATTAGAGGGGTTTCGGCCGTCTTATCAAATGGACTATACATTGCCTACTTAATTGAGGGACAAAAATCTATATTCAATTTTAAAAAATGCTTAATTGTAGATAAAGGGGTTTTTGCAGTTAAAATTGCAATAATCCGGGTAAATGCAGCATATTACATGTATTGGTATCAGATTAGTGAAATATATATACTAGACTAAGTGTTTATACACGAAATTAAACTCTTTGTATCGCACTGAACAACTCTTCGCCCACGAAGCTGTAAGTATTAATCAGGAATTCTTGTACAGAAGTTATCATTCGGTATATCTTACACTCTCTGTTTCTAAGAAAAAGATGCGTGATTTGATTGTCACAGCCATATGCTTTTATCATGTTCTTCTGATATTAATGCCACTGGTATATTTTCCTCAAAGAAATGTTGCTGAAGAAAGTAAAAAGTGCAAATTAGATGAAAATCAGCTGTAAGAAATAAAATCTAATCTTTGATGACGATCAATTTCACGAAGAACAAACTTCATGACTAAAAGTTATTTTGCAAAACATTTCCAGAGTACAGGAAGGTGATTTTATAGGCTTATTTTTTGCAAATTGTAACAGGACCTATTCGAAAACAGGAAAATCCGGCTTGTTGGGGTTAAAAATAGCCCTTATGATTACACTATTTACAGGCTTAATTTAGCAATTATTTGTTTTTTGCTTATATGCATTTCTTTCTTCATTTTTTCCTTCACATTTTAGCAAATTTCTGCATAAAAAATCAGAGACAAAACGTTAACACAATCTAGACATCAACGTCCATGGCACTTTGTTCATTTAACAAGCTTATCTAGAACTTTGTTGGTCCTACGCAATTTGATCCCCAATATCTAGACATCAGTGAATCGTAAGCTATTGAGGCAAATTGAATTTTACTGCATCGCACCCATATGTAAAAGGACACTTCTGGTTTGATTGTTGCAAATTAGAAAAATTAGAGTTGTGATTTGTGACGATTTTATAAGCAGATAGAAAAAAGTTGCTTTCACAAAAGCTGAACTCTTTCGTCCATGGGATTATTCTCGATTTTAAATCGATACACAGTGCAAGTTATTCAATGGGCAAATGAAAAAATTGTCAGATTACAAAATGAACAGTATGCTTTGTAAATTTATGATACAATTGTATACATGTATATTTATAAATGAATTGGGGCAGTCAAATCGCCACTGTACGATTGATATTTTTTTTCAAACTTTATTTTTTTTAAATTGAGATTTCGTCAAAGGCAGGTGATCGCTGTAATTCGTATTTGTGAAATTCGTGTTTTACTGTAAAGAAAAGTGAATTTTCAGACCCCCACACTGTAATCGTCTCTATGTTTCCACCCCGTCTGTCTGTAAGTGTGTACCTCCATCTCTTTGTCACATGTAGTTCCACATTTTTTTTCCTGAGGGCGTTCAGACATAACACTAATTTTTGTATGTTTTATAAGTTACAGATCAACTAAGTATTTTTCTCTGCTTCCATGATTTGTTAATGGAATTACATATAGTCTTTTTGATTTTTAAGGGGACCATGCAGGAAGGGTACGAGACAGTATTGATTCAAATGCAGTATTAGAGAATGCTTGAAATCTAGTTTCACTTCAATTCTCTAAAGAAGCATATAGAATTATATTTGTTTTATTCTTCTAATATTTCAATATATCATTGAAATGAAATCCATCACTTTAAGAAAAGATGAAAATTACTTAAAAAAAAAAATGTTTTGCTTGAATTAATGTTTATTTTATTATTTTTTTTGGACATGATTTGGTTGAAAATGATCCACATAGATCAATTTTCTATGATGCTAAAAGATAAGTTTACCTTTTTGCCGTCTTCCTCATTTTATTTTTCTAAAACATAACAATGAAAATTTTAATGAAAATTAAATTCATGCGGTTTTGCTTCTTTAAACTATATTAAACAATGGAAGTTATATCAAGATGTTTGGGGGAAAATGAGCTTGTTTGCATCATCTGTCCTTTCCTTAAGGGTGAAAATACATTCCTTTCTACATGTATCACTTAACTAAACAAATCTGTTTAAAAGTCAATTTGTGGAGGGGTAAATCATTTTTAAAATTCTTTCCTTTATTTACAATCGTGTTCAACCTACTTTTTATGACAAATTTGAATAAAGTTTACAAACGTGACTTTTTTGGTTTCTAATTGAATCCAGGGAATGAATAAAGATACTGTAACCAATATTATTGCAAATATCAAATGTCAGTTGATCTTCATAAACAAATAAACGTTGGAAAGTTTTCCAATTACTAAGAACTAATTAAAACAATGTAATCAAACTATTTCTAGGAGAGTAACACAAAAAACATAAGATAATCAATTAATTTAAAGGGACTAGTATGTGTCCGCATACATTGCGTCGTTCACGGGATGCATTATAGATGTCTGCAAGAAAATTCCACCATGCTTGTCGTTGCAACAGTTGTCGAAGTTAACTGTTAAAGAATGGAATTATTCCCACGCTTTCTCTAAAACTTCCGTTTGCAAAGTATAACGAACCCTTTCGATAACTCAAAAGCAAACATACAACAAAGAAAATTTCAAGTAGCGTGATAATTTCTAAAATATCGATGTACTGGTGTTTTTAAGATTCCTTCGGAGCTGTTGGATTTTGTGATCCGTTGAATTCAAAATGATCTTAGAAATGAAGTAGGGAATATACATTAAATGAATCCAATTTTCTCGCTTTTGGTTGTTAAAGCAATTTTATTTGTAGCATTGGTCAAATAAGTGGTTCGGAGAGATAAAAATGCTAAGAAAATACAATTAAAGGAACCTAATTAACTACCTGCAAAATCATAGAGTTCCCATCATCTTCGTTTTCTTCACAGCTTGGGTCAGCGTGAAGTAAATTATTCAGTTCAGTTATGTTTATTGAAGCCAAGAGACATACACCTCATAGACAATATTTACAATCATACATTTTAACACATATAATAATGAAATAAACTTACAACATGTACAAAACATATAACATTTTCAATAATTTATAAATCAGTGAAAGAGACTGTTCTTGATGCACTCGCTAATTGCAAAAATTTTCCTAGATTACATAATTCTTCTACATTCGGGAGTAGTAGGTTTTAATGTATTTTTGTCTTTATGTGTTGTAATGTGGACATTTTCACACAAATGGAATTCATCTTCTATGTTACCTAAGTGTCACAAACCAAAGTTTTAATATTAATCAGTTAATGATATATTTTTTCTGTCATGCACAGGTATTTATTAGTCCCCTACTGGTAAAACCGGCGGAGACTATAGGTTTCCTCTGAGTCTTTCCGTCTGTCTGTCAGTCTGTCCCATTTGGGTTTTCCAAATTTTTTTTCCTAAATTGAACTGATTTTATTGAGTGTATTTTAATGAGTTACAGATCAAATTTCACTTCCATTTCGCGTTATTGATTTTTGACGGAATTGTGACATTTTTAATTTTTCATAATTGGGATTACAATCGGGTTCGTGATGCACTAAATTAATGTTCCAAACGAGCTTCGTATCCTAAAGAGAAAAGGGGATGCCGGTAGGGGACATACATTTGCTTATGCAATACTCTCAGAATGCTTGTTTAATTGGCCTTTGAACCACTAAAGATATCTAGAAAAAATTACATATTTTCACAATCTTATTAATCTATGAGGTATTTACATGCATGTAAAATTTATATATGCACGTCAAGAAAAATTAGAAATGCATCTGTCACAAATTGAAAATAGTCAATTTTAGCCTAAAATATCGTTATTGGTTTTTTTTAAAAATAATTTTTAACGCAAAGTAATTCATAATATTTACATTCAATGTAATTTTCTTATCACTCAAGTTATCAGATAAACCATTTCGGTGACAAGTAACTTGTAACATATGCACTGTGTCAATTGCTCACTTTTTCTATCTAAAGAAAGATTCGATTTATTGATGCGTCTAAGTAAGAGAAGCAAATCAAATCGAGTAAATTTATCAGGGGCCTCATGGCCATGTTTTTACATTTTCAAAAGGGTCACTTATATGGAAATTCAGCAAAATATACATTGTGAATATGTTCACAATTTATATAAAAAAAAATTTGTTTAAGACCTCGAGTTAATAGGAGTTGGACAAATTGTAAATATATATTTTAACACAACAAATATGATTTAAAAATTGTTTATTAAATTTTGAAAAATGCTTCATGGGTTTTTTTCCTTTGAAGGAATGTTCGGGCCAATTTAAGCGTTATTTAACTTTAAATTCTCACAAACGGCTTTTCAACCGATGTAATGATGCATTTAGATGATGAATATGATTACCATGTTTTATAAAATATCCCCTTGCAACTCCCTTACAACGGAGTATGAGGGGATTTAGTAACGCGCCTGTTTTGTTTTTAAGGGTGTGTTAGTTTGTCCTCTTGCTAAACAAAAGTGGCGTAATTTGCATCGGGATAAATATCGAACGTTGTCTTGATGTAAATTTATGCTCTTTGTGAGGGTGTGTTCCCTTCTGTGGACCCTTGTTTAAAAAAAAGTTCAAATCAGACAATTTCAAAGCAAAAAACAAGAGACCCATGGGCCACATCGCTCACCGGAGCACAAAGGGTAGGAAAAAGTAGAAAATGGCTTTTTATTGTAAAGTTTAAATCCAAAAGTAGTCCCATGACCAATCACGGATTTGCTATTTTTTAGAAAATGATTTTTAAAGAATTTTCCTATATATATCTTTAAAAACTTTGGTCGGCCATTTTGGACCCGCCCTACCCCCGGGGGTCATGATTTGAACAAACTTGAATCTACACTACCTGACATGCTTCCATATAAATATGATGAATTATGGCTTTGTCATTCTCGAGAAGAAGATTTTTAAAGAATTTTCCTATATATTTCTATGTAAAAGTTTGGTCGGCCATTTTGGCCCCGCCCTACCCCAGGGGGGTCATGATTTGAACAAACTTGAATCTACACTACCTGAACAGCTTCCATATAAATATGATGAATTATGGCTTTGTCATTCTTGAGAAGAAGAATTTTAAAGAATATTTCTATATATATATTTCTATGTAAAACTTTGGTCGGCCATTTTGGCCCCGCCCTACCCCCGGGGGTCATTATTTGAACAAGAGAAGCAAATAAACATGCTTCCATATAAATATGATGAATTATGGCTTTGTCATTCTTGGCCAAGTTTTAAAGAATATTTCTATATATATATTTCTATGTAAAACTTTGGGGCCATTTTGGCCCCGTCATTTCAGATTCAAACTTGAAATACACTACCTGAGCATGCTCAAATATAAAATGATGAATTATGGCTTTGTCATTCTATGGAAGAAGATTTTTAAAGAATTTTCCTATATATTTTTTAAAACTTTGTGTAAGAAGGATTATCATGATTTGAAAGAATTGTTATTAAATTTTCTCCAAAAATCTTTCCTGGCCCACTGGTTCTTGAGAAGAAGATTTTTAAAATATGCCACCAAATTTTCATTAATTCCCAGTTATCTCCCCTTGAATGAGGGCGTGACCCTTCATTTGAACAAACTTGAATCCCCTTTACCCAAAGATACTTTGTGGCAAGTTTGGTTGAATTGGCCGCGTTCTTAGAAGAAGTCGAAAATGTGAAAAGTTTACAGACAAAACGGACGGTGACAAATTGTGCAAAACAAAAATCAAAAACAACAAACAAAATTTAATTTTCGACCCGGACGTCAAATTTCAATATGATATAAATGTATTTCTAAATATTGTATACTTGTAACTACAACATTGAAAATTTAATCTCTGAAAATCAAGATCTCTATCTCACCGATATATATGTAGCATGGTATATAATTAAACATGTGAGGCAATCACATATCAACAAATGAAAGACGTTGACTTTACTTTTATTAGAACTTTATCCTGCCTAAGATCAATTGTTGATTTTTTTTCAGCTACATAAAAAGAAAGAAGAATAGCATGAATACGGCTAGTTTTCGTTTAAACTTCAAAGAAATAATAAAGCATGTTCTCGTTATTAATCATGGGAAAATTCTATTAAAAGAATACTTAAAAATAATACCAATGTCGATTACAGGTACTAGTATTTATTATTTAAAAAGAAAAAATAAAAGTTTTTATTTTTAAATGATTAAAATAAAAATCAAGTATACATTACATCTTTACTGCAAGAAAGAAATTGTAGACCTACCTGTATCGTGAAATATTACATCTGAATCAGAAAAATTACTCCAATGACTATTAACACCAGCAGTGAACAGCGTCGTCCAATAAATGTTTCCCTTTCACCAAGTGAACATTATTTCTAACGTTTGGTTTGCAGCCTTTTGTTGCTGACAAGAGCTTCAGAGAAGTTAAAAAAGAGCACAGAGCTGCACTTATCCCGACCTTACCCGGAATCGATTTCAGTTAATATGAAATGCGACAAATTACGCCAGGTTAGAGAATTAAATAAGTTCTGATTACTGCACACCTCCTTCTCCCTAGTCTCGTGTGATCGCACGAGAGGACAGTTAACTTCCGGTGAAGGTTTTTCATGTATCTCTCTGCAGTTTTTAGTTGTAAATTTTTAATCTGTATGCAACGGATGTTGACTTCCTTTTATGAGGTTTTCTGAAAAGAAAATGTGATACGTTTGTCGCAAAATAAGAGCTAATTCAATTCCGATGTCGTAGACTCTAGAAAAATGGCAATGGCAAATGAAGAAGAAATCAGTGGTAAGCTCTTGAGGGATTTCTGAGACTTTATCCGGTTATCACCTTTCAAAAAATATAAATAAGTTTACAAATTGTAAGATTTAGAGATTTTGATAATTTGTTCTTTGTGTAAAAATATTGTCTGTAAACATTCATGGAAATTTTGGCACTCGCATTGCTAATTGTTTATATTGAATAAACTCGAGTGATTTGGGTTCAACAATTTTCACTGTGAAAATTATCTCATGTGTTTTCACTTCATCGTTAAGTAAAAAATCGTAGTTACGAAGAGTATCCAAAGCTTTATGGAGAATACAACAATTACTGTCATGAAAATATTTTGCTGGTCTCCCTATCAAAGTATCGACTACACTGAAAAATCTTCAATATAATGAGGTAGAATAGGTTGTACTTCAATGCTTAACCACTAAATATTAACGATTATTCAATTATAATGTCTGGGTTCCAATGCAAAACAAAATTTTTATATTGATTACATTTCACATGCTTTCTCGTGTTTGTCTTGCCATTTTTCTCCTTTTATCATAACTTGATTAATTATTTTTAAATAACATTACATTAATTTATACATTTACTGTATCTCAAATCGCTAATTAGCACAAAGATATAATGTTACCAGCACCCATTCAATCTCAGCATCAAAAACAAAACAAAAATCGCAGAGTTTACGTTCGATTATATTCGTCTTATTTCGTACTTGAGGGTTTTTTTTTCTCTCAGATATACAGAAAAACTTTCTAAAAAGAATCATGCATGGAAAAGCTTTTTATAACCAGAAATCGAAATCATATCCTACAGGTTTTTAATTATCTCTTTGATTTGACTTATTTAGAATGAGGGAGTTTATAGTGGTCCACGCTTGATCATCAAAACGCTTCTTTTAAAATCAATGTTTACAAAGGAAGGCTTTCTTTATTTAACTTTTGCTGCTGTGTTTAGTACCGGTATATTAAAGGTCATTTCAAAAATATCTAATTACGTGTTTAATTATAATCGTTCATCCTCTTCTTGTACTTTCTGATAAGAATTGACAAAATAAAAATTTATCAGACTTCTGATTTGTCCAAATAAGACTTCAAGCTCAATAGCACCTGATACACTATCTGGAGTAGCCACACCCGGAGGTAAAAAAATAATATGATGAATCACTTTTTTTTCTCTTCTTTTTTTTTTTTTAAGAATTTTAGCACTCCTAAAATGTATAACATTAAGGACAATAAAGTGCATTTCATGGAAAGAAATTTTCGTCACACTTGCATTTTGTCATGTTGTAAATTTTGAATTTACCGGGTGGCAGTAAATACAGATTGTCATGTTGTAAATTTTGAATTTACCAGTTGGCCGTAAATACAAAATGGTAAATTCAAAATTTACAACATGACAATTTTGTGAAAATTGACCCGTTTTCCCTAAATCAGTGAATAGTCCTCGTCGCACACCAAGGCCAAATTGTACGATTTTCTCCCTTTCTGGGAGAAGAGAGCTATATGCGGACTCTGAACCGTGGTTAGAGACGATGAATTTTTTCCGTGAGTAAATAAAATTGGAACACAAAAATATTGCTCTTCAATTGAATTACAGAGGTTTTTAATTTTAATATCTGATATTTGTACATATATATATATTGTTTAATCATGTGCATTTGATTTAATCCAAATAAATATTAAAATTTTCATTTATTTGAAAGGAGAGATTCATGATTTTATGTCTGTTAGCTTGCTTATATGTACTTGTATTACACGTACACTCTTTTATCATCAAGATTTTCGGTACACAGAAATATTTTTTTTCCAGGGAAAACAAAGCCCGTCCTTTTTACTGTGCTACTTTATTTAAAATTTCATGCTCATTACCTAAATAAACTAATCATAACTTGTTAATGATAAATTTTATCTGATATCTTTTAAAAAAAAACTTTAAATGTTTCACAACTACATGTATACAGATATAACAGCAATATAATTGAAGACTAGAATATTTGTATACATAGATCGATGTGTTAAAAATGAAAAAGAACGTGCACCTGTTTATCTTGAGTTTTTTTTTCTTCCAGCCGAGTTCGCTCTGCCTTTCCTTACTAATAATGCAGAAAAACCTTTCTTAAAGAACATGTTACAATCAATCTCAATCACAGCCTGACAAGACTTTGCTCAAAATGACATAGCTATTGTCAAGGTATCAAAAAGAGGGATAAATTTTTATCTGGATTATAATAATTTTCTATGAGATTTAGGAGTTTATGTAGTTTCTTCAGTATCTTGGGAGAGTATTTATTTGGGTTCTAATATAAAACTAATTAAAAAATTTCATACTCTTGTTTAATCTTTTGATAAATTGGTTTTTAATTATGTTTTATTTTTTTATGATGAGATTGATGCTCTGACGTGGAACCACTTGGAAAATGACAAAAAATTGTGTCTACGTGACGAAAGTCGAGCTTTCTATCATGAATCCTGTAGTGAATTCCCTTGTATACTCTATATGCTTGTTTTATCGTTTGTAAAAGTAAAAAAAAAATTCTTCTTTATTCAAAAAAAAGTTTTATATAACGGTTTTATTACTTCTATATATTTTTTAGAATTATTAAAGTATAAATGTTGACAAAAAAATTCAGTTACGGTTTTGTTCCGATGGTTATAAAACCGTTCCTGTTGCATGACGTTCTTCCTTTCCTCTGTTAGTTGGCATACAATAACAGTTTTCATTTGAAAAAAAAAAAACAAATAAAGCGCTTATACACAAAAGACAGGGGAAAAAAGTATAAATAAAATATATTACATAAACTAAGTAGTGGTTATTGTTACAACCGACCTCAAAATATAACTATATACTATTATAAAATCTTCATTGAAAGGGCGGTTGCCCTCCATTTTTTTGTAACATTACAAGTAGTTATACATGTAAAGGGTAATGGAACATATGGAGATGACGAACAGTTTCAAGATCACAAGTCCATATAACAAAAGAAAATAGGAGCAGAGCAAACACGAGCCTCCAAAACATCAGAGGTGGGATCAGGTGTCATGGAGGAGTGAGCATCCCCTGCCGACCAGTCACACCCGCCGTGAGCTACTTGTCATGATCGGGAAATAACGAAAAAATTCGTTATCAATTCAGTGTATAAATAATGGACTAACAAAAAGTATTTAAATAAAAACGTTAGTCAGCATTTGACTCAATGATATATTGTATTTGCTTACAAGGCCATTGTGTATCCTATGTATATTTCCAGTGCATTGAAGGATAGTTGTGTAAATTTAAGAAGCTAATTATGTAACGAGAATGTTGATAGTCTTGTGGTTCATAACCTAACTTAAGTTTTTCAATAATTTACCTCTAGTAGTGCATGTATAAAATTGGACTTTAAACAAGACTGCTGATATTCTTGTTTCATCCTTGTTTGTCAATAATTACCTCAGTAATTGGACATCTAAAAACACTTCACCAGCAGAGCGAGTTACTTAAAACACAGAATACTTGTGTACATATATGCATGTACACTGTACAAAAAAAAAACAGAATGTTTACACGTTTCTTAATTACTGTTTATCAGTATGACGTATTATTTGTGTTTACCAGTTTCACCTATTACTTGTACACATAGAATGTTTACCAGGCCAGGCTTGGCTAAGCTGCTTCACCTTGTAACCTGTTAACACTAAACCAACAGCTGGCAACTGCTAGACATTTGAAGACGTTCTAATTCGAGACTCTTGTTTAGCGGTCAGGTCAATATGTTTTGTGATATTTATTTTTCTGTTTTGTTTTCGACAAACACATTCACTATCTCTATACGGGATGAACTATCAGCCAAAACGAAAACAGAAGTAGGATGAATAAACTATTCGTCGTTCTTCATTAAGAAGGTTATCAAGTAATATCATCGAATATTAAACCTGTCTATTACAGAAGTTATCTCTTTCTACCATTAATCGAACACTAAATAGCTTTTTTCTGCACTTAATGTTCTGTTACAAAATTCCGCTGGAAAAAGTGCAAGAATAATCTTGCGCACAAAAGCTTTCAAGGTGATGCGGTTTCCGGTCCATGTGTATTTGTCAAGATTTCTACATGCCAGAGAAATTTATTGTTTGTAAAAGAAAAAAAAATCGGAATAACTAACGTTATCAGTTTATTTGCCATACAAGTTAAATTGCAAACCATGAAAACTGCAAAAAACATTCAGGACAGTTGACGATTAGGTTTTAAGACATTGATAAATTGTGTTCTGTGCGATTTTATTACTTGGTAGAAATAAAAATCAGTTTTTATTACAACCTGCTTATTTTTCAATGCTTGAAAGTTTTTTCAGAAAATTTTGCGATTAATTGTTGTTAAAAAAATATTCAGAAATATTGATCTACATGTTTGTAGTTTTTGCTTATAAGAGTTTTAAAAAATCGGCATATTTCACCGGGGAAAGCATACTAGTATCTATATATCACTCATAAAACTTTTTAATTCGCGTAGACAGAGAGAATCCTTGTGAAGACCCTTATGAGAAAATGTGAGAACACCAAGATGAATTTGTTGCTTCTGGCAAGGATTAGTCAAAGTCTCTCAATGCACGAAAGCACACTCAGGATTTTTAGCAGAAACATATTTCTCAAACGACATGCGCTTCCAGTTAGTTTTGGATTTATTACATTCCATTATTTTAGCGAATATTTTTTATAATATTAACTTCTGTTAAGGAGACGTGCACTTCAGACGCACATGCATTGTGCTATAGCATACTCTGGAAATAGTGCAAATGAGATGTGGATCCTCAAAAACTCTAGAGAACTGAGAGAAATTTATTTTAAAATCGCCATTTAAAAAAAATTATTTATTTTTTTCTAGATAAATTAAAACTACGCTTTATTACAACTGCTTCTTCATTAAAAATGGAACTGAAAAGTATTACATCTTTTGATTTGTCAGCAACAACGTTACTTTGTTAAATATCGTTCTGATACCATGTAATTATTGATATTTACAGAGATC